GTATGGATATTTGAATTAATATGAATTAATGGAAGAGATGCACCAAAACATGTTGTAACCAGCTGATATACTTTTCTTTTATATAAGGCCCTGCCTGATTTTAAATCCCTTTTTTTGAGGTGTTCGTTAAGGACATGCGATGGTCGTAAAGCAAACGCAGCTGTCACAAAGCAAAGCCAATGGGTGTTTTTTTTTTTTTTTGCTTTTGTCGGAAAATGGAAAATGAATGCCGGCTTCTGGCAAAATAAAAAATAAAAAGACGTAAATTGTGTTTGTGTGACTGCAGGACGCTGCAAATTGCCATCAATGTGGGCTGGTGGCAAAGTGCCAAAAAGATTATTTCTATTTCTTGAATTTATAGGCCACCCAATCCCGGAGGACTCCGGGCGGCTTACAGAAATAAGAATATTAAAAAAGGATTAAAAGCAAGTAAGACACATTATCTTGTTTCCTCTCCATGTTAAGGACACCATCTCTGCCCGCTATTTTATTAATTTTTTTAAAAAATACAAATATAATCTTTGCAACATTTCCGTATCGTTAAGCCTCCATTACACTCTTTTTATCCATACATGCATACCTTTATATATCTATATAACTATACTTATATAATTTACACTTATATTTCTTTTATACATATTACTCTTTCAATGTACTTATTTCTATAGTATACAGCTTATGTCATTCTATGTACATACATTTCTCTTATAATTCTTATTCTCTACTATTTTATTTATAATCTATCTTACATTTCCCCCTTGTTAATTATGCAGTTTTATGATAGTTTTCTAATTTCTTAAAATCTTTTCTTCCCTTTAATGCTTTCTTATTCTTTGCCTCTTTCCTCTAGCCATTTGTACCATAAATCCCATACTAAGTAATACTCAGATTCTCTGTTGTCTTTTATTTCTTTTGTAAGTCTGTCCATTTCAGCGCATTCTAATACTTTTAAATCACATTGTCTTGTTTTGTGCGTATGTGATTCTTGCTGCAGTTATTACATGTAATATTAAGTGTTTAATTTTTCCCCTCATAATTCCCTGTAATTATCCCTAATAAAAATACTTCTGGTTTTAGTTCTATTGATTGTGTGGATATCTCTTCCAGCCACTTTTTTTATTCTTATCCAATATTTTTTTTTGCTGCTGTACCACTATTTGAATAATGCAAAACAACAACAACAGAAAATAAACCAACGATAACAACCCAGCAGGATTACCAAGGCATGGTCATCTGGGCAAAAGCCACTCTGCTCTTCTGTCCCCCAGACAGGCTGGCAACGGGGCGGACGGCCAATTCTCCAGAGACTCCGTAGCACCCCAGCTGATGACGGTACTCCTCCTCTGACTTCCCTAAATTGCATGGGGCAGAAAGAGCGACGTGAAATCCATGCCTAAAGCATGAGTTGTGGCCTGCCCTTCAGGTAGCCAGTGGAGCTGTCAGCAGAGTCGGATAGTGAGGAGGTTGGGGAGGAACATGGGCCAGTCCTGGGGGATGAGGAAATCTCAGGCGAGGGCTCCGTGTTGGAGGCAGAGATGGGGCCAGTGCCGTATGCAAGTTATCAGCTGCCTTCAAGGTCAGACATCACTGAGGCAGATGAACAGCTGGAGCCTGTTCCCAGTGTGCACATGCACAGAGTTGCCAGACGAAGGGAACAGCTAAAGAACAGGGGNCGGGGCAAAAGTCACTTCACAAAGAGAAGAATTTTTGGGCTCATAAGTCGAGGACTACCTGCATATATCAACTTCACTAGTTAGAAACAGGTCAGGAAATCAACTCCTACCCTCCCCAAGGAGGCCTGAAATTATTATTTTTTTTTAAATTGAGAATGGCTATAATTACAGAACCTTGGAAGTCTGTCTCTGCCGGGCCTCCTCCGTTCTCTCCCGACTCTGGTGAGTTAGGGAGGTGTTTGGACTGCTTACAAAGGCTTATTTGCCCTTGGCGGATTGAAGATAAGTTTCCTCCCTTGTTCCTTTGATAAGAGTTTGCGTATCTCCTTCAAGGTCGACATTTTTTACTCTGTAGTATTGCGTGCCTTTTAGAGAGGTTTTAACAACAACACCAAGAAATCTCTGGATGTATTTTCACTACGATTTTGAGTAACGCATATTTTTATATGCTGCCCAGAGTCCCGATAGAATTGAGTTAATGGATATATTTAGTGAATATTTTAAATGGATAATCATTGGGCCCCCTTCTCACTTATTCTTGGGTCTCCAAATAGCCCGGCTTTCTGTACTCTCTCGTCTTCATGACCCCCCCAAGTTCTTCTCTCGACTTGCACTCATTCAGCATAAGGCATAATTTCCCCACAAGCTTTTGTCTTAAGTGTAGCTTATTCACTACAGTACAGCAAATAATGTGCAACTATCTGCGACTTAGGGATCCCTTCGGGACATGCATACCCCAAATAAGTGCGAGAAATAGAGGAATAAAATGTCATGGGCATTCCTGAAACGTTGTGGAAGCTTCTCATGGCTGGCACACAACCCTTGTATGGCTACAATTTATTGAAAACTAGCTGATCACCCAGCATTGCCTGGGTATTTATTTATCCTAATCCTGTGTTAGACAGAAAAAACCCTGATTTTATTGAAAATGCTTGGACCAAGTTGGATTTTCCCCTTTACCAGAGGGAGCCCCATGGAGAGTACTGTGAAGCCGTTACCGTGGCAACTCCACTTCGCTGTACAGCAGAAGCCATTTTATGGCACAACAGGCTGTATCTTAACAGAACACCCCCCCAAGGGGTGTTAGGGGTGTATTACCCCCACAGTATTTTTTTCCAGGCTGGTCTTGTTGTATTCGGGTCTTTTTCTGTGTAAGATTGAGATTGTCTTGGCAACGTTTCAGCGTTTCACCAGCCTGAAGATGGCGAGTGAGACCTCGCTGAAACGTTGGCAAGACAATCTCAATCTTACACGGGAAAAGACCCGAATACAAGACCAGCATAATTACACCTGTGAAAATCTACCAAAACAAATATATGTATATATATATGTATATATATATTGCAACACAACAGCAGCAGCTATGAGGTGACCACGGCTGCCACCTCCTGCACCTCAAAAATAATAAGACCACCCCAAAAAGTGCTTATTTCAGGGGTCAAAAGAAAATAAGACCGTCTTATTTTCGGGGAAACATGGTACATGCTTTGAACTGCTAGGTTGGCAGTGGCTGGGATAAGTAACGGGAGTTCACTCCGTCATGCAGCACTAGTTATTCAAAGTGCCANAAGTTAGTCACATGGTTGGTAAGTGAATCAAGGCAGTTGTTAAGTTAGTCACACGGTTGTTAAGTGAATCAAGGCAGTTAAGTTAATCACATGGTTGGTAAGTGAATCAAGGCAGTTGTTAAGTTAGTCACATGGTTGTTAAGTGAATAAAGGCAGTTGTTAGGTTAGTCACACGGTTGTTAAGTGAATCAAGGCAATTGTTAAGTTAGTCACATGGTTGTTAAGTGAATCAAGGCCATTGTTAAGTTAGTCACATGGTTGTTAAGCGAATCAAGGCCGTTGTTAAGTTATTCACACGGTTGTTAAGTGAATCAAGGCAGTTAATTTAGTCACATGGTTGTTGAGTGAATCAAGGCAGTTGGTAAGTTATTCACACGGTTGTTAAGTGAATCAAGGCAGTTAAGTTAGTCACATGGTTGTTGAGTGTATCAATTCAGTTGGTAAGTTAGTCACATGGTTGTTACGTGAATCAAGGCAGTTGGTAAGTTAGTCACATGGTTGTTAAGTGAATCCGGCTTTCCCCTTGACTTTGCTTGTGAAAAGGGGATCACATGACCCCAGGATGCTTCAACCGTCATAACTGTGAGTCAGTGGCCAAACGTCTGAATTTTGATCACATGACCATTTGGACAGTGTGAAAAGGGGTCAGGTCACTTTTTTCAGCGCCATTGTAACTTTGAATGGTCACTAAGTGAATTGTTTTAAATCGAGGACTACCTAAAATCTATACAACAGCAAAGGATGCTTTCATGTTTAGATATGCAGCTTTGAGGTGATTTTGTCCTGAGCTTTGATCCTGAGGTATAAGTTTAAGTAGTCCTCAACTTACAACACTTTGCTTAGTGACCATTCAAAGTTACAACGGCACCAGAAAAACCCCTGGCTTACGGCCGTTTTTCCACAGTTACGACCATGACCGTGTGATCCAAACTCAGATGTGTGGCAACTGGCCCAGACCTATGACGGTTGCTGTGTCATGTGATCTCCTTTTGCGACCTTCTGACTGTGGGGAAGCCGGGTTTCGTTTAACAACTGACTTACTCACTTATCGACTGCAGTGATTCACTTAACAACCGCGTCAAGAAAAGTCATAAAATAGGGAAAATCTCACTTAAGAAATACGGTGGAGGGTCTCCTGCTTGGGCAGAGGGCTGGGGGTGGACTAGATGACCTACAAGGTCCCTTCCAATTCTATTAATCTGTTATCTAACANACTGCAAATCGCAGCTGGAATTCCCAGGACGGAGACAGTTCTGCCCTCAGCTGGCCTTCCCCCCCCCTCGCAGACACAAACTGTGAGGATCGGATGGCACTTTGCTCAGCAAAATGGCTCACCTTATCTCCTTTGCCTGAAGAATAAGGTAAACAAACTGCCAGACGTCTGATGGATTGATCATCTGACAGATAACGCGACCAGGAATTCGGGAGCAGCTATAATGAGCAGCTCCCATCAGCAAGCCCCTCCCCGGAAGTCTGTTTTTGTAGAGATTGTATGTGGAAGGGAAAATGTTTTGGGGTAATTTTAACTTCCTCATGCTTTTTCTGAGGAGGGCTTATGGTCAATTCCATTTGGCACCCTTGCCAATGGTCCCCCATCCTTTCCGTCACCGGAGTGCCCTCCTGGGGGTCCTGACTCCTTTTGACGCATAAGGAAGGTGGCCCCAGAAGGCTTAGGCCAACAGCGATGGGGCCAATGATGGGAGGGTGGCTAACTCTCAACTTTACCAAGCTGTCATATAGGTCATCATGTAGGATTGCATCTGCCAGAATCCCCCCCCCCAAAAAAAAATCAGGTGCCTCTCTCAAAGGCTATGGTAGTGTTGGAGTTCACCCAGAGTTCAGGCATGACAGGGGCTGCGTGGTATGCTGATGAAGGACACGATAGATGCAACAGCGGGAATGGGGGGAGCAGACTGGCTAAGGTCCCTCTTCATTTGGTGTTGCAGAGGACCCCAAACCATGGACCCTGATTCTTCCTCCCCCCTCAGGATCCCTAACAGCTCCAGGGCCCCCCTCTTGGGTGGGAGTATGCAACTGGCCATGTTCACAACAGACTGAGCTGTTGTTCAGGACCCTATCCATCAACAGGGCACACACAAGCACCAAACAAAGCCATAGAGGACTCATGCCTGCCAATTTGAAAATAAGTCAGGGTAGTCTGATGGGTCTAGGTCTGAGATGGAGGTGACCTCTTCAGCATGAAAATCAAGAACCTCAACTTCCTCCTCCTGTGGTTCAGGTTCAAGGAGTTCAGTCCAAATCCTCACTCTACGTTTGACAACAAACAATGGGAACAACAACAAAATTCAGTGATGTAGTTGCAATCACAAAATCAACACAACAGGGAGCTGAGAGCTATTGGGCATGGTCTGGGGAGGAGTAGTCTCAGTCCTGGGCTGCCCACAGAGCCAAGTTTTGTTTGCTAAGTATAACACCCACAATCCCAAGACTCCCAACAGACTCCAGAAGACCAACTCCCAAGGTGCTTCAAACGTAAGTGTCCATAGGGGTTACACACTTGTCACTGTCACAGTCTGTGTTCACAGGGGCAATGCCTCCTTCCTTGGGTACAGGACAGTTTCAGAAGAAAAAATGTTCAATAAGATACGTCATGGTCAGCATAATCAGCAACACTAGGGCCAAACTCACCGCACCTATAGCTGTGTATTGCAGTCCTACCATTCCTTGAAATGGCCAAGTCAGCAAAGTCAAGAGGAAGGTGTTGTAATGTGGATTAGGTGGTGGCCTTTCAATTGAAAAGAAACTTCAGTCCCAAGTCTCCGTCGCCCTGTGGTTTGGGGGGTCACAGTCCACTGCTCCAGCACCTCCTGGTCTGGGCACTTCTTTACGTGGGAATGATGGATCCACGAGGACAGGCCTTTCACCTTCAGGGCAGAGGTGGGTTCCTACCAGTTCGCACCTATTTGGTAGAACCGGTTCGTCAAATCTACCGGACCGGTTAGAAGAAGTTCCACCAGTGGACCCGGAAAGCAGGCCACACCTACAGAAGGGGTTCCAAAATTTTTTGAAACCCACCACTGCTAAAGGGTTAGGGGTGCAAGGATCTTGTAACTTGACAGCTTTAAGACTTGCATGCTTCAGTGCCAGAGTTCCTGAACCAACGTGACTGAAGGAGGAATTCTGGGAGTTGAAGTTCACAAGTCTTAAAGCTGTCAATTTTGAAGACCCCTAGTTTTTTTTCTAAAGGGTTAGGGGTGCAAGGGTCTTGTACCTTGACAGCTTTAAGACTTGCATGCGTCAGTGCCAGAGTTCCTGACCCAATGTGACTGGAGGAGGAATTCTGGGAGTTGAAGTTCACAAGTCTTAAAGCTGTCAATTTTGAAGAC